AAAGGGATATATATTCAGAAATAATATATAAGAAAGTTTCTCCTTCAACTGCCAGTTCAATAGATTTTCAATGTGTCGAAGACTATTAGAAATAGTGACTGTCAAAAATACAAATACTATCAGAACCTAAATATCTTATAAGTATTCCATGACAATCATATCAGCTAAGAAGCTTTCGGCAAGAATTATGATATATTTCTAAATTATTATTCTATATTTTTTCTTACAGAATATATAAGAAGATAATTTCTTATTGCCGTCGTTAAATTGTTTTTACATTTAATATGTTAATAGGTTTTAGAATTGGATTTGGCTGTTGTTAAAAATGTCACTTATTTATTTATTTACATTACTTTGGTAGAGTTTTAACTCTATAGCTAGGGAGTTGGTTTTAATACAAAATACACTTCAATCATTCCGCATCATATATTTCAATCACAAATATAAACCGTAACAACAGTCTTAAATAATCCAAAAATAAAATTTTTTTTTATTGATTAATTCAGAAATATCTGCTACAATTAAGGGCATTTATAATAGTGTTCAGAGAGCAAATTCACACTAAAAAATAATTAAAAAAAAATCACTTTTGCTAACGGAGGATCACCTCTATTCTCCATATACATACATGTATGGAGGATATCAAGGATTGACTGCAGAAAAATAAATAAAACTATATAAAGAAAAAAGAAAAATCCACCAAAAGTGAAAGAAACAAAAAGTTTTCCCCTTTTTTTCTCAATAAATTGATCTACATTGATGAGTCAATGAATTCTGCAAACTGACTGAATAAAAAGGTATATTTTCTTATATTAATAGAGCGCATTCAAATACGAAGAGAAAAAAGCAAAGAAGGGACCATTTCTTTCCAATTTTATATAATTTAGGTCAAACATTGCGTAGGATTGAATCTTATATTGGTCTAAAACATGAAATAAATCTTCGTCCACCTGATTATTACACAATGGACAGTTATTTTGAGGGTCAAATTTAATTACAGTTTAGTTTACACACACTTTAAAACTATAATCATTGGCAGTGTGTAACTGCGTGATAATTCTTTAAACGTGATAAAGCAGGCTGGTAGTAAGATACGGCTGAGCTTTATGTGTGAGAAATTATTCTACAGTTTATAATATTGTCCCTGGAAGTATGCTACTTCGTCTTCTGATTGAACATGCTTCTTATAAGTATCAGCAATGTTAGCTAGCTATTTTGTTGATGTCACAATCACCTGATTGGAGAAGCTGTTTAACTTGTGAAAAACAGTTATATGCATGAATGTTTTTATTTGAGCGGTCCGATTCAGTTAGTATTTTGAAGCTTGCTTGGTGATCTATTGTTGTTAATTTTTAAAATCTCTATTATCCATTTCATAGCTTGTTTTATAACGAAATAAGATATGTGTATTAAACCTGATTCAAGTATGAGAATATATCCTGGGTTATTTCTAGATAGGTAACTTAAAAAAGCTACTTGATGTAACGAACTTAACATATTTGGGAAATATACAGAAGTGTGTTTTTTTAACATGTTGTAAACATTAATGCATGTTTTCCAAACTCTGCTTTTCATTTTCATTAAAATATCTACTATTACGGCAGAAAGCTGGGTTTGCTTTTGTAAGATCGTGCTTTTTTGCTTTCAGAAATTCTACTCCATTATATTTTGCATTTAATGTAGAATTCAAGCCACTTAGATTTTTCAGTGTTTACAACAAGTTTGTTGATTGTGCAATACTCCTGTAAAATCGTAAGTCTATTGTTAATATCTGTTATTGAGTCTCCAAAAACTAGCGAATCGTCAGCATAGAGTAGCATGAGAACTGATTCTTAGTCCTACAACATTTCTCTCTCTCTGATAAAATACTCTATATCCGATATACAGAGACTGAAGAGTAAAGCACTGAATGTTTCACCTTGCAGAACTCCTTGTGTGACCTCAATTGGATTGCTTTGTTCGTTGTAACATCATATCCTCATGAAAGGTGTTTGATACATAAGTCTCAGTATCCTGTTATATTTTCCGTTCATTGGAATCTGTTTCTCTACACCAAAATATTATTCTATCAAACATTATTGAATACATATTTTTGTGAGAGAATTAACAAGGGATATGCAGCGGTAATTATTAGGATTTGATTTTGAACTTTTTTAACATTAAGCTTATAATTTGAGACCAAGCTTTAGAGATTCCTTCTGTTGACAAAATCCTATTAAAAAGTGCTTCCAGGCATAAAATCCAGTTTTCAGGCAGGTTTTTGAAATATTCACAACTTATTTCATCAGGTACAGTTGATTTTTCATTTTTAGACTTTTTTATTGCTACATTCAGCTGTGTAGTTGATATATCTAACATCCAAAACAGGATTTATTAGTCAAAATAATAGGTATTATCTAAACTACGAGTTGGGAAAATTTCATTAAAAATTATTGAACATTCTTCGCATGTGATATAATTTTTTGAGGTCCCCTTTGCTTGAAATTTGTTAACTACTTTCCAGAATTTTTTTGTGTTGCTGATAATTGTTATATTGTTGACTATTTCTTTATATAAGGCATATTTCTCGCTTATTACTAGTTTGTAATAAAGCTTTTCGGCACTCGAGTAGTTGTTCTTCCTCAATTGTGTATGGTTGTATGTTTTTGTAATAACATTAATTATCAAACCAAAAAAAAAAATAAATAAATAAAATAAATAAAGAAAAAAAAAATTATCAAACCATGGTTGGGAGATCTTAAAATCTGTTGAAGAGCTGGTGTTACTAGTGCGAACAGGCCTTACTCGTTTGATACTTCTATAATGGATTCATACAGGTTATCGTGAAGAAGGTCCACCGACTTAAGTTAGTAAAGTATATTGAAGTCATAAAAGAAAATTGCATGGCTTTATTGAATTCAAATTTCTTCTCTCCAATCCATTTTAATTTTTTTAAGTTTCCTTATTAATTATTTTACATTCAGATATATTGGGTACATCAATTGTTCGATCGAGATGGGCAATCAAGAACATGCAAATCAACAATGAAGTTCATGTTTTTTAAATAAAATGTCACTTAAATAAAATATATATTGAATATTTATAGACTGAAAGAATTACCCTTAAAATATACTAAGATGTTTAAGTAGATGAGCAAGTGCATTTAGGCTTACGATTATTTTTATTATTATTTTTTAATGTCTTAGTTTTCTCAGATTTTTGGGATAGCATCCACATCGCGGAAAAAAACATTCAAGTGAATGTAGATGAACGTAAAAAAAAAAAAAACTTATTTAGAAAATTTCTTACAACCCTCCACATATCGAGCAGGACTGCTTTTTGTGCTGCTTTTAAATGCGCTAAATCAAATCCAAGTTGTTGGGTATCCTCTACTGTGCTTTTCAATATTAAACCATTAGAAGATATGATTATTGGTGTAAACTTCACTTTTTCTAAATGATATATAGTTTTTTACCCCTAAACAAGTTCTTGTTATTTTCTAATTTTTTCGGCTCTGGTTATCATGTTGGCATCACAAGGTGCTGCTATATCTATAATTTCTTTAGTTTTATTTATTTTGTTTATAACCAAGATATCTGGACGGTTATGCAATACTCTATGGTCCGATATTATATTTTGATCCAAGTAAACTTATATATTTCTATTTTCATTAAGTTTTTCAGGGGGTAGCGATAATAGGGTAACTCATCACTCTCCATTAGTCCTGATTTTCTTCATTTACTTTGGTGGGATATTTTTGCGTCATTATTATGCCTCATGAGGTATTCCGTTCCTGCTAGAGTATCGCAGCCATTGGTAACATGTTAGATAGACTCATGCGTCCTCGAGCAAAGCCTGCATTTATCTATGGCCAGATTTTCTTCTTCTTCAGATTCTTAGAAATGATTTCCGCTTCCTCCGTACCAAGTAGTGTACTAACTTTCCCTTATCGTGTCCTCCCCTGGCCAGTGAATCTCTTGTCCTACCACGATATCCAAATTGTACCCATATACCTTGTTCGCGACCAATTTTAACCCACCTGCTGAATTCAAACTCCTTCTGCGTCCCTACATTTAAATTCCTTATGTTTAACTTGCGCAATGAATCCCCTAAAGCAGTCCCCACCCGATGGACGGAAGACTCGAACGAGGGACTATTTTACCTCCGGATAGTGAGAGTTTTACCTTAGGGAGATCCATGACTATTTGTGGTGCATGGTGAACTATAGATACTAAAGATAGTAGAGTGTTCAAACACACGTCACATTCTCCAGCAACTCTGGAGGGTCGCTATCATTGTTGGTCAGCCCTTAGGGGGGAGGAACTTCCAATGAATTTCCGCCGATTTAAATTTTTCATATAAATCCATAATTTATCGAATCTTCATATTTTTTATGACGGATTGTTTTAAATTTAGGAACCAAAAAAAAAGAAAACTTCTGATAATGGGGCACAACCCCGAAATGTTGGGTATGTAATCAATTAAAAAAAATGAAGTACTTACTATGGGAGAAACAAATAACTATAGGAAAATAAGAAGATGCTAGAATTATCCACCATAGATAAAATAATTTATTAAAAAACTTAAATTTATACGTTTTTTCGGCATCTATTTCCTTTTTACGACTGTATATTTTAATTATTTATTTAATCATAGTAAAAAACTAAGTGCCACCTTGTTTTTTAATCCGATATTGGTGCAAATAGACACCGCTATATTTATTTATATTCCACTGTGGAAATTTTTATTTGTTTAAGCACCGGTATATTTATTTTAATTTAAATTTTTATATTGCTATAATCGATATAGGCAACTGGTTTTACTGTAAACGTCGTGAAAAAGGTTAGTTATTTTATAATGTGCTTTAAATTAAATTAAATGTGTTAATATGATTTAAAATGAATGTTAATTAGTGGATAGTGACTAGGAAAGGACCTATTTACATATAGAACTATAATATTGAATAAATGTTAGCATTTAAAATGACCGAGACAATCTCCGATTCAGGCAAAGCTATTGTAATGGAGGTTACGGGCTCAATTGAAGATTCTCTGAATGAACAAAGAATCAGGAAAATTTTAACAGACCACAAGCGTCAAACTGATGTCGAGAGAGACTCACGGAAACAAAAGAGGTCCGCCACTTATAGTACTTTATACTTAGTACCTTCAACCTCAATACATAAAAGGTTTCTTTCAAGTATTGAGTTTCAGGTTCAAGTATTGAGCGACAAAGAAGAGATTCAACCACCACAGGCAGCCGAAAAGGTAATTGATGATAACCCACCGCCTATTTATTTAGCATCTGTATAATTTCTGCAAAATGTCTGTGGTTCAACATTTAAATTAAAATCAACTGCAAGGAATATTCGACTGACTTCATTTCAAAAGCGGCCATTTATCATTTCGAGAATTTCGAGAAAAATACAATTTTTATTGTGGGACTTCAATTTAGGAGAATTCCGTTGTTTTTTTCCACATTTCAGCTTAAATATTCTTTATTAATTCTGTTAAGGGTGTGATATCAATATAAATTGAAAACTTGGTCAAATCCGTATTTTAAAATACAGATGTATGGTTTTGAAACGACTATTTACAGCTGTGCGTTTTTGGAAGAAATATGATTGTAGGTATCCTATTTTAGAAGCAAACGGCTCCTTATTAAAATATAACTATCTCACTTATGAAATAAGAAAGCACTGTTAACTTATATTCTTACATATATTTTTATATCTAGTAATAGAAAACTAAAATGTTAAATGTGAGATTTTATTTAAATAATTTTTTTAAAAATCATAAGTATACAATATAACGATTACTATACTAGATTTCTGTAAAAATCTTCTTCATTCCCACATTAATATGAATCATTTGATAAACTACCACTATCCCATGGGTTCTAGAAGGCCAGGAGTTTCAATAAAGTTTTTCTAGCATTTTAATCTGATATTTTCCTCCCATTTTTAACAAAATGATTTACTAACAAAATTTCTTAAACTAGAAGTTTTTCTTTCTTGAGTGGGACGCTTGTGGGCATTGCCTTCGGATTAACCAGTAGTGATTTGCAATTAAGTATACAGATTGGCCTCTCTCCAGTTTCAGTGTTGTAAGCATATTCCCCATCGACAACTATGTTTCCGGAACTAGTCTTCCGAAGAATTATTCACCTGCATTTCGAAAGTTTAATGTGCAGTTGGCCTGCCGTTTCACCATGTTTTTTTTCCTTTTTACTTTCAATCTGAAGGGAGTGGGGTAGCTCAGTGGTAGGGTAATGAGCTTCCAATGCTAAAGGTCCCATAGTCTGTGGACCAGACCCTCCTACCGTGCACCCCTCCCTCCCACCACATCCCTATAAATTGCATATCGTTGTGTTTCTTGTAACTATTTATTAAAAAAAAGCCAATGTTCCCACAAAAAAAAAGTAAACGATCATCCAAACTGCTCCAGCATTTGACCCCCTTTTAGCAGCATCTTAAAATATTCTATTCATGTGTCTACTATATATTCGTTTTGCCATATAATTGATACTGATCCTTGTTTTCTTTACCGGGATTTTAGCACTTCTTTCTCGTTCGCTTAATGTATTTTTTAAATTTTTAGGTTCAATTTCGCGTTTTCCTTCATTTTGAGATCAAATACTAACAATAAGTTTCGGATATCTAATTACTTATTATTAACAGATTATTTCAAGATGCTGCTAACAGGGGGTCAATTGCAGTTTGGATGATATCAAGTGGACTGCTTCAAAGTGTAGATAGTCCCGATCTGCACCTTCAGCAATCGAAAATGAAGTGGTTTTTCACCATAATAAACCTACATCGTCCACTTGATATCATCCAAACTGCAATCGACCCCCTGTTAGCAGCATCTTGAAATATTCTGTTCATCTGTCTACTATACATTCATTTAGCTATATAATGGATACTGGTCCTTTTTATCTTTTCCGAGTTTTTGGCACTACCTTTCACGTTAGCTTAATGTATTTTCCCAATTTTCTGGTTCAATTTCGCGTTTTTCCTCATTTTGAGACCAAAAACAAACAATCAGTTCTGGTTTATAGAAGAACTTATAGAGTCACCCTTTATATCTTTCTTTGTTCAGAGAGAATAATTCATTCAATATTAAAATTTCCTATTTATTTATGATATAGTCCAACTTCCGCACAAAATAAAGGAAATAAAAATTAATTTTTTAATTAGTGATATATGAGTTTTACTAAACAACCCGTAGCTATTCATTATATATAGTTCAGATTAGGTATATATTATTTTAGTTTATAAAACAGGTATTAATATGTCTCATTACCTGGGAAGTATATAGAAATTAGAAATTACCTCTAAGAATCAGTAAATATACAAAACACAATGTTAAATTGCAAACGTTAAATAAAAAAAAAATCAAGATATTTTATAATAAAGTTTTATTATTATAATTATATCATTTTTACAATTGAGGTTTAAGAAACGACCTACGTGTAAAATAAAGGTGGTCAAATTTAAAAAAAATAATAATAAATTTTTTTTTAATTTTAATTTTTTTTTTTACAATTAAATTATTGCATTAATATTTGTTCGTTAACAAAACCAATATAATGTACCAAAAATGTTATTATATCACTATAACTAAGCCATTTATGTGTACTGAATGGTGTGGTAGAGGCCTGTAGGCACCCACGCCAGTACCGCTTTTCTGCCACATGAGTGCATTTTCTACGAAACTGCTTAAATTTTTTTAAAAAATAACCAGCGTTTTAGAAATAGAAATATATTCTCAAGATGTTTTATTTCTGCACGTTTTGCGTTATTGTTGGCCGTTTAATTACAAACGACGCTTGATTTGTAACTTGAAAATTTTTTTGTTAAACAAATTGACTTTACTGGTGTTTTTCGTAGCCTAAGCCAATTATTTTTTAATATTTCTTCATGTTTTATTATTCTATGACTATTCAGCTTTAATAAAAGACCAAATATGAGGAAATTAAGCCAAATACTGATTCTCAGTGACCAAAAAACTAACTAAAGTCAAAGTCGTCAATCCGCCATCTTTGGACGCCATTTTGGGGCAGTGCGTTCACTTTTTTTTGTGGGAACATTGGCTTTTTTTTAATAAATAGTTACAAGGAACACAACGATATACAATTTATAGGGATGTGAGGGGAGGGAGGGGTGCACGGTAAGGGGGTCTGGCCCACAGATTATAAGACCTATCACCAACCCAGGGCGGGGTGGATGTACGGACAAAAACATGAAAGCTCTGCATGTCAGAAATCAACAGATTCGTCCGCTAAGTGTGCAAACAGCCAAGGAGATCAACCTGCAAACTATGGGATGCCGGATCTTGAACATTGTATGGAACTCAGAACATTAAGAAGTTTGTTAGCCCAACTTCATCTTAGGCCTCAACATACCGCTCCTCTTTTGGGACTACAAGGCTTCCCTGCACTGCCACATCAACCCCAGTCTTCTCAAAGAGGACCAACGACTGGACGAGCAGGAGCTTTTCGCTTTCTTCATCCACTAAAGAATATGATCAATCAGCCATTAATCAATAAAATGTAAGCATGATATGTTAACCACACATTTAGAGGTAAATAATATTATCGGAGTCTGCATTACGTTTGGAAGTCTATCCGAACTTCGTCAAGCTCTGTTCGGCACGGGTGTTTTTGGTCCCACATTACCGTCACTTATTTCTTCTTTAGTTATTTATCAAATTCTCTCATAATGTGACGACGTTTTCCGCTTGGGGTTAGTCCGTCCGGTGCTGCTCTCTATAGAGAAATTATAGGCTTGGTACAGATGCTTATGATAATGCAGTGTATGTCTGTATCCCTGCTGAAGCACTCTGTACCTTACCTTGTCTTATAAATATATTAATGTTAGTTGGAAAAGGAGTTTAATTTTATTTATATTTTGTTTTGTTGCTCTCAACGTTAGTATTAACATATGTTCTCTTATAAGAAGAAAATATAATTGTTGCTGTTGGTATCTTTGAGAAAAAATCTGAACTACCCGGACCTAATACTAAACCATGTCACAATAGTTCATATTTAACCATTATTTATATAACCATTCATATTTATTACTGTTTATAACGTGAAGTGGTTAATTATTTCAAATAAACAAAATCAAAGGTTTTTTAGAGGAAGAAATTATTAAAATTTGGCATTTAAGATTTACCAGAAAATTTCTATGAGAATAAAAACTATTAATATTTAAGGCAACTTAATTTGACAGTCATATAATGAATTTAATTAAAATTCCCGTTTTTAGATTATTGGAACAATGTTTAAAATCGATGATATATAATATCACCTCCGGTTTGTCGATTTTAGCGAAAAATTTGGTTTAGTATTCCAAGCATATTCTCAACGTTAAATACGTGATTTCAATTCCTTACGACTTTTGGGAATAGTTCTGCTCCCAAAACTATGGACTATAATAAATGGTATAGGTCTGGTTCCAAAACTATAATTTTGAAATATTTATGTTGTATTATAAACTAGTTATAATGTCGATGTAAAATTTGGTATATTAATATACTTTGACTTGTCTAAAGACGTACTATCAATAATCAATGGCATCTTCTGCAAGAACATTTGTCATATTATTGTTAATGTGTTTACTACTTATTTTAAAAACACATCTATGGTAGGGATCAGTATTTCACTGAACTAATGAGAATCTGTTTTACCGATAGAATCTCACATTTTTCTAATTCTTTATATTCTTTATCAATCGTTCTTAAATGAAAAAAAAAAACACCAATGTCGGTTTTTTTACAAATACGTTTCTCTTTCCGCTTCTTCCTTCAAAAACTCAGATTTTTAATGGAACATTATTTACCAATTAATTGGAGTAATTGAAAATTATCACACTAGTGTTAAACTAAATAACAAAAAGAACAGTTTTAATTTAACACCAATTGTCTTGAAAGCTGGGTGGACGATCGGTGGACGATGTGCAAAACATGCGTTGCTCGGAGTAATAAGCTATGATGAGTTCGAACCCCGGTGCTGGAGGGACTTTTAACTCCGGTACAAAACCACGTACTGTCGAAGGGAGAGAAAATAAAACTGTCTTTTTGGAGGGACACAAAAGTCGAAACGAGTCCAAATTTATTTTTAAAGTGTTGGAAATAAACAATAATTACAATCTTAATGGCTACCCGCTGTTGTAAGCTGAAAGTGAATACCATAAAAAGCAATCGTATTTATTGTGTATTTAACATGTATGAGGAGTTTCTAATACGACTCATTTTTAAATTACATCCCATACTTCTTTTCTGTGACAATTTTATGTAATATCTCACTCATATATGCGAGCTTATTTGCATTAATTGCCCTTCATCATTTGCCAAACAATATCCCAACCATAAAATAGTTTATGACAATTGGACAAATATTGCACAAGTTTCCTGTTTTCGTTCTTGAACAATCATTAGAGTTTATTGTAGCACTTTGAGCTACTATCGTTCTTTTAAAGCACTTTTTATTTGATTATGATTAATCGTGAGGATGTTTTATCTGTACAGTTGAAAAATCTTGAGGATCTGCACGGCAGTCTACATTCAGCAGAGGGTTAGGTAAGTGTACTTTAAATAATTACAGGTGTTGGCTTTGTAGTGATATGAATTTATAACTTATAATGTGTATTGTCACGTTTACAATCGAAATGGATGAAAATTTTCTACATTCAGTTTAGTTTTAAATAATACAAGACGGCGTTAAGACATATGCCATCTGTAGATCTACAAAAAGGCACAGTGATATTAAATCAGAGAGAATGAGAGGATGTAATGACTCATTTTTTTTTTTTAATTAATATATTTTCATAATTGGTAAAAGGTTTACTGTTACACTATTTTCAGACACATAAAAAAATATATTTCTATTTAAAGAAGACTTCTATTATTTAGAAATATATTTCTATTTAATTCATGACTTCAGTAAAACCTATATGTTTAGTTGGTCTCTTCCTTCCTTCTAATAGTGCTCTTGAAAATTATAATGCAAAAAATGAGATTCTGCTTTAATTCAATCTCTTTTCTCTGGTTTTCAATGTTTAGTAATGCTAGGTGTTATTTTGCACCTTTTATCAGTAAGCTAAAGCTCTGTGTGCAAGAAACAAGATCTTCACCCGCAATGTATTTTCAATTTGGTTCAAGGGAGAATTTTAGATCTCTTGACTTATTTCAACTAATTTTTCTAATTAATAATTCAAAATTAGTAAAACTGGGTTAAAATAAAGAGGTAAAACGCTGAACAATTCCCTCGCTTACAGTTGCTTTGCAGGTCCGATTTTCAGTTTCTGAAATATTTTAATCCATATCTTCAATAGAACTCTTTATAATTTGGTTTTTAACACTATTTTTTCCTTTTTTATCTTCCAATGTCGCGTTAAGATACTAACTAAATCCATGGCGCTACAGACCAGTGTAGTTCCTGGCCGCCTAAATGAGCCCTCGCCAGATGGCTCTATCTTGCGCAGTCGCTCGCCAGTTGCGGGTATGCAATACTTCTCTGGCGTCCCGGATGACGGCGTCCTCCAACTTAGACGTAGTCTGTCCTTACCTCTTGTCCTGCAGAGCTTCCCATCAAGCAACTTCCTTGGGACTGCCTCTTCTGGCATTCTGGCCACATGGCCACAGCCCAATGTACTTGCCCAAGCTTGATGCACCTCAACACATCTGTCTCCCCATACAGATCATATAGGTCCCTGTTAGTGCTCCTTCTTCAATCATCACCGACCAAAGATACGTCGAAGGATTTTCCTATCAAAGATTAGTAAATCTTTTTCTTCTTTGCTAGGGAGAATCCAGCTTTCCGATCCATATGTGAGAACAGGCCTAATGAGGGTCTTATATATGAGGCAGTTTGTATGACAGGGTGATATATTCGGTCCACAGTACTTCCGTCAGGAAAGTGTCATGTTCCTTTATGGATGTTTTTGTTAGGAAAGCGCGTGTTGCCGACAACCAAGTCCTTGGATGCAGCAAAGTTTATCAGCATTCGGCCATTCTCGTTTGTGTCGTTATGGAGACTGTACAATCCAAAGGTTTGAAGACTAAATCCTTACCAACCTTTGCATTAAAGTCTACTAATCTTTACATAATTTTTTGGGCAACTGTCGAGGGTCCTGTCAAACTGATCATAGAATGCCTCCTTCTCATCATCAGGAGACTCTTCCGTGGGAACGTAGCAGCTGAGGAATGTATAATTATGGAACCTGCCTTTCAAATGCAAAATACAAATCCTTTATTACCAGATTCCTGGATCTTCCCCTTACTACAAAACCCGTTCCAGAGACATGTAGATGCTCGTGACCGCTATGGTATATGACGTGGAACCGTTTTCCAGAACTCCACTTCCTTTCCGCCTCACCTCCTGCAGAGCAACTAAGTCATGGTTGTAGTTGTCAACTTTTTGTAGAAGTTGCCGAAGCAACCTCAGTCTATACAGGGATAAAATATTCCATTGTCCTATTGTTAAGTCCTTCTGGCGAATCCTATGTTGTTTACCATTGATCTGTCCGGCTATTTCTCTTTGAGGGTTCATGATGTGGTTGATATAAGGGGAGCGAAGTATCAGCCCGTTGCCCCCGAGTTAAGATACAATTTTGAATAACAACTCATTACAAATGGATGAAATGATTAACATTTCCCTTGCTAACAATATGCAAGTCCGATTTTTTAGTTCTTGAAATATTTTAATCCATATGCAAAAACACTTCAATTAGTTGAATCATAATAACGACTCCAGCCGACTTTACCGAGCCTTACACATCGGTGATCTAATTGCTCAATCTAATTCACTTTCCACAAAAAAAAGAAGAAGTAAAAAACGCGGCTAAAGAAGTTTTCACTTCAACAACCTGCAAACTTATTGTTAATACAATAATAATTGAACAACGACGCCACAGTTTAGTAAATATACAATTATGTTAAATTTGTATTTATTTGTTTTTCGTATTATTAGAAAGGACAATTTCAAATCACTGAATGTCAGAAAGTCGATCCAGGCCTAATGAGAGCCATTCTTAGTCCAAATAAAAAGAAAATAAACGTGTTGAGAACTTTTTTACCTTTTCGGATATACGGGACTTTTCCAAGCCAGGGGATAAAGCGGGGATTAATACCAAATTTAAAAGTCCTCGGCACTTGGATTCGAACTCGTAATCGGCAAGTTTAGGAGGTTGTGGAGCATGGGCGGATCTATGGGGGAGAGGGAGGACTTCGGGGCTGAAGCCCTCCCCAAAATGGTAAAATATAACCATGTTTTATGGAAAAAAATATTAAAAAATTACCACTTAAAGTATTATTGTTCGTGTGATTACATTTAAAAGGATTTTAGGAATCACTTAAACACCATTTCATATAGGTAGTTAGTTTCTTTATTTTTTCCAAAGTAACTATCGTGATTTTTATAAAGAAAAAAAAAAAAAGCTTTCGGGCTGAAGCTCCTCCAAAATTAAATCCTGGATCCGCTAGTGTTGTGGAGCAACACGTGCTTTTGCACACATGTTAGCCCGATCGGACACCACGTCCTCTATTTTACATTATTACTAAAAACCAATTTTTACCAGTTTTATAATTTTGAATTATTACTTTAAAAAACTGATCTAAATAAGTCAAGATATCTAAAATTCTCCCTTGAAACAAATTGAAGGAACATTGTGTGTGAAGATTTTGTTTTTTCCACACAGAGCTTAAACTTTCTGATAAAAGCTACCAACATTGAACAGCAGGGAAAAGAGATTGAATTAAAACAAATTTTTTTTTTTTTTTTTTTTACATTATCATTTTCAATAGCACTTCTAGAAGAAAGGGAGAGACCAATTTATATATATATATATATATATATATATATATATATATATATATATATATATATATATATATATATATATCTTCTATATATACATACCGTTATCTTTGATACCGTTCATAGACTCTTAATCGTTGATCTTGCATGATAAAGCCCGTCCTCACAAGGCGTAGTGAGTACCAGTGTGAAGTGAGTACCACATGGATATGAGTTTTATCTTAACCCAATCGAGCACGTTTTGGATTATCTCAAATGAAAGGTTCGGTCACGAGATTCACCTGCTACTACCCTTGAAATGCTAAACGCAGCTATATTCGAGGAATGGGATACAATATTTATTTATTTATTTACAAAATATACAATATTTTCTTCAAATTCTTTTTACAAGTATGTCAAGGCGAGTGGAAGCAGTCGTTCAAGCCAGATAGGGCAATACGTCTTATTAAATGTGTGGGCGGGGTGGCCGAATGGGCTAAAGCGTGTGCACCGCACCGCCGTTGCATGACAACCTGATCTATGATTCAAAGATATAAAAATAGTCACGAGTTCGCGTCCCGGTGCCGGGGAAGTCTTTTAAATCCCCGCCCACACTCCCTGGCCCGGGAAAATCCCGTATAGCCTCAGCGGCGAGGAAGGGAAGGAACGAAAAAAAAAAACGTCTTATTAAATGTAAATTAAAATTTAAAAGTTCAAACTGCAAAAAAGGAAAATTTTAAAAAGTAAGTTTTATAACTTTTTTGTTTATTGGAAGAGATATTGTGATTTATTTTAATAAAACATGTTTAATCTCAGTTTAAAAATGTTTATTATAGACATCAGAATCTTTCTTTATTATGAAAAAACAGACATTTTTCTAAAATTCAAATATTTCAAAGTGTTGCGAGTTTATGTGTTGGTAATATATAAATATATGTGAAAAATAATGGCCAATGAAAATAATAAATCCATTTTTACTAAATTTTAACACGATCATTTTCATGATCCTCAGAAAGTTTAGCAATATTAGAATCTAGCGATTTTTACAGGGGTAACTGAAGGGACCATAAACATCACTCAGTATCTGTAATCAATCAATGAACTTTAGGAAATCACACTGTAGCACAGCTTTTTGTAAATATGGTGTGCGGTCATAAATAATTCGCTGGGAGAAAATTATAGTCGATTTAAGGCTGCATTTCTGAGGTACATCATCCATATGTTATCTAGTTCTGAGTTGCTCAGAAAACTACTATATATTTATACCATAGAGTAGAGCAACTAAAAGTATTGTTTATGTGGAAGTCAGGCAAATTTTCTTTAAATAGCTTAAGACGTGTTATGTTAGTAAAAAGCTTGGTATAAAGCCATCAAACTGAAGACGCTTTCTCTCAAATTAGTGATTTTTAGTCGTTTTTTAAAATGGAAATAAAAATGCGGGCCTCGGATTTTTTTTTCGAAGGAAATCTCAAGAGATACTCGAAGACCTAAGAACTAAATCTTCACAGATAATGTCCAACCCTCTAAAACCATCTTCCTATGCTTTAACTCAGCAAGCCTAATTCCATTTCTTCCATTTAACCATTTAACGGTAAGGGTATTTAGCCTATTAATATCCTATTTTTAAATACATTTAAATTATTTAATTGCCAATTTAGGGTAACCACATAGTGGAGCGACGATGCAAGAGACGATAAGAGCGACGATACTAGGACGAAAACAAACATATGCGTTTCAATAGAACACCGCATAGTGGAGCGACAATACTAGCGACGATAAGAGC